TGTATATAATTGCAGGTATAAACTTTTAGCTTTTGAATTTCAGATCTTACCTAAGATGCTCATTCAAATTTTTTTGCAAGTCTGCTACTCATCAGTGGATACTGTATCTGAGACCACCTAAAGCTAATACAAAAAAGTACTTAGCTAATATAATATTAATAATTTATGTTAGAGTCTGTTTGCTGCTAGTTGCAATCCGTCTAATTCTCTATGGTAAGCTAAAATAGCACACTTTTAAGCTAATCTTTTTGTTTTAGCTTGACTATTTKAGTTTGTAAAGAGAGATCATGTTTAAATCATATAGGTTATATACTGTAGTCGATACACCAAATGCTAGCATCAGAATTAATACTAATTCACAAATTGTATGTTGAAGCTTTATTGCAAACTAAAATTCTCAAATAAAATAAAGGTTGAAAAATCGTAAATCCTTTAAATTTAGCATAGCTGCAGTCAAATACAGGGGAAACTACTTGGCCATGTTTTCAATTCACAGCATGTGTTTTTATTTTTATTTTTGGCTAAATGTGTCAGAAAACAGCACTGCTGTATGCTTTTGTGCCGTATGCTTTTGGAAAAATACCCTTCCTAAATTTACTGCATATGAATTCTTTTTTTCATTTGTACATAATCATAAACCGCTAATAAAACTGAATCATCATTAACTGAGGCCTGGCCACACATGGGCAAGTTTGTACTTTCGGAGCAGGGAACTTGCATGGTGTGACATTTTGTTTGAAATATTCAGATCCTACTGCACAGCAGTCTTAAAAATTAATGCATCGTCTCGTTTGTCTCTGTATCTAACAACTCTGAGTTGAAACTCTGCCTGGRCTTCTGATCTGTGTGAAGAAACGTCTTTGTTTTTCTACGAAATCTCTTCCTTTTTTTTATTTTGTTTTTGTTTTAGGATAGTTCAGTTTTTGTTGTTGTGTACCCAATTTTTGCTTTGATGCTTTGGGCTAAGTGCCGGTAGCGTTGAAACAAGTTAAAGCACTAAGGTTCAAGAGAAGAGTAATAAGATTGAAAAGTCTCGGTTTTTGGGAGTAGTTCTTTTATTGGCACGATGCACTGCTCTGCAGTGTGAACAGCTCTTCAGTTTTGTCTATCTCTATTCATTTTCTGTCAATCGCACAAGTCATTCCTGGAGACCCCAGCTGTGCAGTTCGTTTGTGCACAATGCATTTCCTTTTTTATTTTGCTAGAGCCTCCTCTTCCCCAGCTAAGTACGTCACACTGCATCATGGTTTGCCTTGTGGTGTTTCGTTGAAAGCGCTTGGCTCCACCTGCTGCAGTCAGATAAATGGAAAGRCTTCATTGTGTCTGTGTTGGGAAGCATCACGGCCAACATCAGATTTCTGGAAGCATGCTGCARAGACTGCTCCTCCCTGCAGAGCAAAGAGGGAAATGCAGAAGTATGTAGCTGTTCTGACTGCGGTGCATGATGCCAGTGGAACTGACCATTCCTTTTTTTTTTCCTGAGGCGGACTTAAGATGAATCATTTCATGAATATTTCACCATGTAATTGAATTTGTGTAAAACATAGCAACATTTATTCTTTTTTTTTTTTACTCTCAAAGTGCTACCCATTAATACGATCTAAATGGATTTTGTTTCTGCTGGTGGGTTGATATGTGGGGAAAAAAGGGGGATAAAGAGTTTTTGTAGCTCCTTGGGTTTATTTCTCTGTAATGTCTTAACTGCTGATTTGAGTGCTTTTCTTTTTAACCCCTCCTAAAAATGATGCGAAACGTAAAAATAACTGGATAGGAGGAGGTAGCTGCTCTTATTGAGTAGCTATGTCACAGGCCAAACTGGGTAACACAAACTCAACTTTGCAACAACAGGGTTTTTTTTTCTGTTTGTCTGTGTGTGAATGCTGGTTTCGTGTATTTATGTGTGCACTTGCTAATATCGAAGGCAGTAGCTCCACACCAYCTCCCGCGTGCCGTCTCTAAGCACGGATGGCACGACTGAGCACGTTGGTGTCGAGCTCGTTCTTCCACCCCACCGTTCCCTCGACAAGGGCCTCCTGGCTTGGCTGTCCTTGAGTTCGTGTCGGCCCTTGTTCCTGTGTGTCGTCCCTGTCGTCTCGCACGGTTCTCACTTCTGCTCTGTGCTTCCTCCTCTCCTCCAGGAATGGGGAAGAAGGACGACCCCAAACTAATGCAAGAGTGGTTCAAGCTGGTGCAGGAGAAGAACGCTCTGGTCCGCTATGAGTCAGAGCTCATGATATTGTAAGTACACCACTTTGATCACGACTAGGATCGATAAATAGGCTTAGCACAAAAAGWAAGGACATTTGTGTTTGGTAGATTATTTTTTTGTTGTAACAATGCTTCTTGTCAATAAATTGTATTATTTGAAGTACGTGGAGGGACCGCAGCGTTCCTGCAGATCCTTAAAAGCAGAGTTGTAAAGTAACTAAGTACAAATACTTTGTTACTGTACTTAAGTAGAAATTTTGGTTATCTGTACTTTACTTGAGAAATTTTTTTTC